AATGCTGAAATTTATTCAAGAAGAAGAAGAAGAAGAAGAAGAAGAAGAAGAAGAAGAAGAAGAAGAGGAGGAGGAGGAGGAGGAGGAGGAGGAGGAGGAGGAGGAGGAGGAGGAGGAGGAGGAGGAGGAAGTAGCAAAAGGTAAAGATAAAAATTATGAACAACAAATACATATCTATCAACAAGTGAATCTAAAAGTCAAGTGGATTAAAAATCTGAGGAACAGAATAAACTGGTGAATATAATAGAATCAAGGGCATAGAATGGGGGTGGATTGATAATTCTTAGGCGGAAAGGAGTTTCTGTATGAGGGTTACAGGAAGAGAATGGACAAAAATCATACACCTATGGATGAGGACAGTGGGGGAATGTAAGGGCAGAGGGTGGGGTGGAAACTGGGTGGAGGGGAGCTATGGGGGGAAAAAAAGGAGAAACAATTGTAATAATCTGAACAATAAATATTTATTATTAAAAAAACACAAGTGAATCTAAAAATCAAGTGAATAAAAAATCTGGTGAACAGAATAAACTGGTGAATGTAATAGAATCAGGGACATAGAAAGGGAGTGGACTGATAATTCTCAGGGAAGGAAGAGGTGTGAGGGGTGCAGGAGGAGACTGGAGAAAAATTGTACACCTATGGATGAGGACAGTGGGGGTGTGTGTAAGGGCAGAAGGTGGGGTGGGAACTGGGTGGAGGGGAGATATGGGGGGAAAAGAGGAACAATTGTAATAATCTAAACAATAAAGATTTATTAAATTTAAAAAAAGAATATACGTCCTTTTCAAGGGCACATGGGACAGTCTCAAAAACAGACCATGTCAGGACACAAACTAAGTCTTCTTGAATTCAAGAATAAAATTATATCAAGCATCTTCTTGGATCACAATGTCATTAAATTAGAAATTAACTACCGAAAAAAACAACAACACTGAAAACCATACAAACACATGGAGGATAAATACATTTCATTAAACAAGGAAGTGGTTATCAAGGAGATCATAGAAGAAATAAAATTTTAAAAATCCAATGAAAATGAACACACAACACCACAAAATATATATGACATAGTGAAAAGAATCCTGAGAGGGAAGTTCATAGATCTACAGTCCTGCTTCAAGAAACAAGAAAAATTACTAATAAATTATCTAACCCTATAAATAAGAAATTAGAAAGAGAAAACCAGGAAAATCTCACAGTTAAGTAGGAAGAAAATAATAAATATCAGAGCATAAATAAATGACATAGTCTAAAAAAAATCACTAAGATCAATGAAATCAAGAGCTGGTTCTTTGAAAAGATAAACAATATTGATGAAGCTTTAGCCAAACTCATCAAGAAACAAAGAGAGAGGACCCAAATAAATAAAATCAGGAATGAAAGGGGATGAAGTAACAACTGACTCCACAGAAAGAAAAAGGATTATAAGAATATATGAAGAACAGCTATATACCAACAAGCTGGACAATCTGGACAAAATGGACAAATTCCCAGTAAAATACAATCTTCCAACACTTAACCAGGAAGAATCAGGAAACCTGAAGTGACTGATAAAAACTGATTAAATTGAAGCAGTAATTAAAAATAAACCTCCCAGCATACAAAAGCTCTAGTCTGGACCACTACACATGGCACTTTTACCAGTCAATGAAACACTTATATCTGTCCTCCTCAAACTAGTTTTTAAAAATATATAATAATAAGAGACACTTCTGAGCTCTTTTTATAATGCCAGAATAACCCTAATTCCAAAATTAGATAAAGACAGTCCAAAGAAAGGGAATTACAGGCCAGTATACCTGATCAACATAGATGCTAAAATTCTCAACAACAAAAAAATATTACCAAATCAGATCTAACCCTGTACTAAAAAGATCGTACATCATGACCAAGTGGACTTTTTCCAGGATTCAAAGCTGGAACAATATGCACAAATCAATAAATGTGGTACATCACATAAACTAATTAAAAAACAAAAATCATCTAATCATATCAATAGATATAGAAAAGCATTCGAGAACAACATAAACTGATGAACAAAAATTGATCCAGAGACAGAGAAGCATCCAACAGATCATCAAACCTCAGAAGGAAGGTAGATGAGGGTGGGGTAGGGGGGATAAGAGATCAACCAAAGGATTTCTATAAGCATAACCAATGACACAGACACTAGGGGGGTGAGGGCATGTGCTGGGGGTGGGCGTGGCCTGGGAGAGGTCAACGGGCCGGGGGAAGGGAAAGGAGATATATATAATACTTTAAACAACAAAGAATTAAAAAGACAAAAAGAAAAAGCATCCAACAAAATTGTACATGCTGGTTTTATAAAAAAAACTCTCAGCAAATTGGGAACACAGGGATCATACCTCAACATAATAAAGGCCAAACCTACAGTGAAAATCATACTCAATGGACAAAAACTAAAACCATTTCCTCTAAAATTAGCAACAAAGCAGGGATGTCCACTTTCACCACTCTGTTTCAACATATTAGTAGAAGTGCTAGCCAGAGTGATAAGAAGAAAACATGAAAGGCATCCAAATGGGAATGGAGGAAGTAAAACTCTCATTATTCTCAGATGACATGATATTGTACATAGAAAATCCTAAAAATTGCATTAAAAACTACTAGACCTAATAAATGAATTTGGCAATGTAGCAGGATACAAAATTAATACCCAGAAATCTATGGCATTTTTATACACCAATAATGAACTTTCAGAAAGAGAAACTGAACAAACTATCCCTTTTAGCATTGCAGCATTGCAACAAGAACATTAAGATACTTATGAATAAACTTAACCACAGAGGTAAAAGACTTGTACTCTGAAAACTACAGGACTTTGAAAAAAGAGATAGATGGATGTATAAACAAGTGAAATAATATATTATGTTCATGGATTTGTAGACTCAACATCATTAAAATCTCCATACTGCCAAAAGCAATCTATATGTTCAGTGTAATCCGGATTAAAATACCAATGACATATTTCACAGATGTGGAACAAATACTCCAAAAATGTATATGTAATAAAAAATGTCCCTGAGTAGACATAGCTATCTTGAGAAAGAACAAAATTGGAGGGATCACAATGCTAATATCAAGCTATACTACAAAGCCACTGTACTAAAAATAGCCTGATATGGGCACAAGAACAGGCATATAGATCAATAGAGCCGAACAGAGACCACAGAAATCAACCCAAACCATTACTCTCAAGTAATATTTGACAAAGGAGGCAAGCGTATACAATGGACTCAAGACAGTAGCTTCAGCTGAAACCGGTTTGGCTCAGTGGTAGAGCGTCGATCTGCAGACTGAAAGGTCCCAGGTTCGATTCCGGTCAAGGGCATGTACCTTGGTTGTGGGCACATCCCCAGAAGGGAGGGTGCAAGAGGCAGCTGGTCGATTTTTCTCTCACATCGATGTTTCTAGCTCTCTATCTCTCTCCCTTCCTCTCTGTAAAAAATCAATAAAATATACTTTTAAAAAAAAAGACAGTAGCTTCAATAAATGTTGGGAGAGTTGGACAGGCATGCAAAAACAATGAAACTTACAAAAATAGAAAATAAATTGGTGGTTGCCAGGGGCTGGAGTTTGGGGAAGTGGGGATATGTTGTTCAAAGGGAACAAACTTCCAGTTATAACACATAGTTCTGGGGATAAAATGTACACTATGGTGACTATAGTTAACAATACTCGTTGTATACTTGAGAGTTGCTAATAGAGTAGTTTTTAAGTGTTCTTATCACAAAAAAAGGTAATATGTGAGGCAATGGATGTGCTAGCTAACCTTATTGTGATAATCATTTCTCAATATATATGTCTATCAAATATCACGTTTTACACTTTAAACTTATACAGTGTTCTGTGTCAATTATATTTCAACAAAGCTGGAAAATAAATATAAGTACAAAAACAAAACAAAACAAAACAAAACAAAACAAAAATACTGACTTTTAGAACCAGTTCCTTCCCACTGAAATGCCAATGGCTGATGGTGGCTTGATAAGATACTACATCCAGGATAATGGGATCAAATAATCAAACAAAGGCAAAAAAAAAAAAAAAAAAAAAAAAAAAAAGGTATAATGTTAAAATTTCAGACACTGGCCAGCAGATGAGGAAGGTATGTGGAAGCAGCAGACGGGTCTTCCTTGCATTCTGAAATCAGATGCTATATATCTCAGCCTATTCTATTCTGAATATAGATTAAGATTAAACTTTAAATTTAGGCCCCCTGGTTCTAAGAATTCTCCATTAAAGTGGATTTTGCTTTGATGATTGCAATCCCTCCTAATGAAAGTTGATAAACTATTGAAGTGTTCCATTTGAAATGTCATAAATATATTCCAAGTCTTTCATGAGTCATATTTTCCGGTGGTGAGTTTGCTTTCTCCCTTTATTATCAATGTCACTTCCCTGCTAAATACAGTTGCATTATTCTCAACCTGTCATAGAACACTGGATCACCTGCTTTTAGAAAAACATTTCTTCCCCTAAACACCTCCTGTGAAGTCACTAGTTTTCAACCAGACACTTCCAGGGGGAATGGAGAAGGGAGAAAATGTTGCTTCATATTAAATGGATAGCATTGGGTTATTTGCAGCACCAACCCCTGCATAATAGATTGTGGTCTCTTGGAAAGAATTCTGAACTGAGAAGTCAAAGATATGGGTTCAAGCCCTTGCTTTGCGACCTTGGGTATGACATTTCCCTCCAAATCTCAGTGTCTTCATCTGTAAAATGGATGATGGCAACATCTCAAATTTCTCAGTAATACTGTGTAAATGGCAAAATATGTGTTGCTGCAGTAATCACCACACCATTCCAAAATCTATGAAGGAATGTAAATCTTCCCTTGGTGATTTTCAGCTCCAGCTCACATTCTCTAAGATGGACTGCTTTGAAATGTCTGCCCATAGTGGTCAGTGGGTAATTTGAGAAGTCCCTTGCTACTTAACTTATACCTTTTCCCTTTGATCTTTCATCTATTCTAGGTGTCAACTCTGCCCGCTCAGTTCCTCCTTCCTACCCACCACCGCAAGACCCATTAAACCAGGGCCAGTACCTGGTCCCAGATGGCATCGCTCAGTCACAGGTCTTTGAGTTCGCCGAACCCAAGCGCAGCCAGTCACCATTCTGGCAAAACTTCAGCAGGTTAACCCCCTTCAAAAAATAGTACCTACAGGGAGGCAGATAATTTTAAAATAAAGTAAATAAAATTATATTTATAGATGGACCTTTTTTCGGAGAAGCACTGTTGAAATTTATAAATATATATATGGACATATACACACACAGAGAGACCCTTGAGTGTACACACACACACACACACACACACACACACACACACTGAGAGAGAGAGAGAGAGAGAGAGAGAGAGAGAGAGAGAGAGAGAGAGAGAGAGAGAGAGACCAAAAACATTTCCTGTTCTTTGGGGGAAGTGAAATCTATAGTTGGTAGGAAGAGGTACCAATGACTTCTAAACATGTGATCCCTTCTTAAAAGTTTTTTGTTCTTGCTCTATCCCCTTCCCTTTACTTTCAGAAAGTGACATTTCTATTTGTTCATTTTCTTGTTGAGATAATCTCTTTACTCCCCTGAGTGATTCATTAACTTGTCATTATTACCATAGATGTGTTTATATTGTGTGTGTTTTTTTCTGTCCTGATGATACTGATGCTGATGACTTTTTATTTAATTTAATGTGGTGGGTTTGGGAGTTTAGAATTGTTTTTACTTTTACTTTTTGCTATTGTAGATAAAGGGAGGGTCCCCTTTCTCCTCTCCTTCAGCTGACCATCTATCTTCAAATGTTTCTGCAGCCCTGTAGTTGCCCCAAACAGCCTTTCCCTGCATCTTCTGTTCTAGGTGTGTGAGTCTGGATGTACTCTGCTGTGCCCTGTGACATAACTACTCAATAACCCTATTGTTTTCAATGTGTTTTAGGTATTGTAGAGGGATCAAAACCAAACATAAGAAAGGACATGTCAGAGTATAATGATGTAGGAGAAGACTTCTGTTCAGGGAACATTCTGCATTTGGGCTATTTCTTCTCCTAGTACTGGGGTTTTCCATGTTGCAGCACTGCTGAGTCATGACGGTTTTGTATCTGGGATTTAGTTTCACAAATTATTCTGTTTTCAAAATGCTTTGGTTATGGTTTTCCTTCTAAGCCTGTCCCTCTCCTACCCTAAAAGATCTGAACTAGAAGCAAACAGGCTAAAACTCTGCCTCCCATGGAAGGGATTCAATTGTCTTCAGTAGCAAATAGATTTAAGAAAGGGCTCCCCACTGCAACCATTTCCAGGGCATGTTCATCCCAGTTTCTATTTGAAGATTGTTTATGCAGCATTTATAGGATAAAGGGATAAAGACAGAGTCTACCTAACCTTGCCAAGATCATCAACTGCCTGTAAATTATTTACCTAGAGAAGAACCAATGCTGAACAGCAACCTCTTTCAGGAAAAAACAAACATGGATGGGTATGGAAATAGACATCCTTGGCCTAAAATATGTACCTGCAGTTCTTACCATTCAAGTTATTTGAGACTTCCTTCATTATTAGCAGATTGCATGGACAATCTTCCACTCTTTTCTTCCCCTCTTCCTATCCTTCTTTTTCCTGCTCTATTGGCACCAGAGAATTGGTGGCATGCCGTAGTTAAAGTACTTTGGCACTTGAAGAAGGCCCCATTTCCAACATTGTCCCATCTCAGGACATTTGAGGCAAATAAGTAAGGATTCCAGGGGGATTTTTCCCTATGAAAAAAAGGATCTGAGACAGAGATCCCATACTTAGTCTCACTTTGGGGCAGGATTTACATGGTGGTAAAACTAACTTCTCCCAGAAAGAGTTCCCTGTGGGTACAGGAGTACTTGCTTCTCCTCACCACATGGCCCCTTGGGTGGATAGACATTGAAAAGCAAGAATAATAGAGTAAAAAGAAGTAAGGATTGGCCTTGCTATGGAGAACCACTCTAGTGAGGAATCTGGAAATTATGAGTCTGTTCAGAACCCCTAGGGAGAAGACTGCGTCATGAAAGGACCCCAGCTTACTAAGCAGCAACCATGGCTGCATGGGGCCCTCAGTGTAGCTGGCTTGATTGTTGCTCTATGCCTCCTGACCCAGACCAGGCCCTACCCAGCCTGAGAATTTTTATTCTGTGGGAATCAAACTACAAGTTGTTTTAGCTACTTCCAAGAAAGACTTGTGGAATGAGCCAATGATAAGCTTGAGCTGGGCAGAGGCCAGGGCTTGGGACTGGTCACCACTCCTCAGTACATGACCTAGCTACTTAAATCCCCTTGGCAAGGAACCTGGTACCTAATGCATAAGAGAAAAAGACCTTTCTGGCAAGCAGAATGTGTTTTAATGACTGGGTAGGCCTTCCTTGAACATACATTTTTTCCTAGTTGCCATTCCTCCTCACTACACTTGACACTGACATGTTTCTCTAGGGTCCTGGAGCTCACCAAGAGAGGATGCTTAGATAAATCCCTGGGCCTACAATATTTCTTGGCCAAACCCCCTTGTCCTTGTGCTCCCCAAGACCTGTACCCAGAGCTCCAGGATCAGGGATATTGCCTCTCACCACCCACCTCCCATCCATCTATCTCTCATCCACCCCACCCACTGGCTTCACCAGATGCCAATGACTTGTGGAAACATCAACAAATCAGTTTCCCCTTGGTTGTAGTGTTCCCCCAGCCTATGGCAGCAAATCAAACCAGTGGCCAGCAGCCCCAATGGGCCATTATCTGGGCTCATAGTCCAGTCCTATTTTGTGTCCTCACAGCAGTGCTATCCATAAGAACTCTGTAAATCTTTGTTTCTGCATGGCCCTGAGCTCCCTTTTCCTCAACTCAATGAGGCCTGGATTTGCTCTTCAAAAGGCTTTGCTATTGTGTTCTATGGGCCCTGCTGTGGGATTGTCCTCACACAGAAACTCAACTCCTCTTTCTCTCTCCCCCTCCCCATTCTCTCTATTGTGTATATCTCTAATGGATTTATAAGAACAGCAACAAGAGAGTTCTAACAGTTCTAGTGTAAAGCCAAATAGTGATATTTTAGTGCTTTGGGAATGGGGTGGGCTGGGGTGGTTGGATGGGCAACAGTGATTTTGATTACCCCTGCTGCTCTGCATTTGCCAGTTTATTTTGTTTCTCCTAATTGACTATTTGACCCTGTCAAACAAATGTCAAAATTGTGTGTTTTAAAAAAAAATGTTTAACAACAAAACTATGATGTTGTAATGACACAAAGCCTTATGAAAATATTTATGGAGTTCAATAAAAGAAGTAAAAAGACACCTCAGGCAAAGCTCTCGTGCCATTTTTGTGTGTATGTATATGTGCTTGTTTTCCAATAGCAAAATAAGGGGAATTTACCTCATGGGGGGTGGTTTACCCCAGCTTATTCTCAGTCTGCATCCCTGCTGTACCATTGCCAACCTTTCATGTTCTTTCTGGAAGAGTTGGTCACAAGAATAAAATATGATCCTGTAACGGGGCACTTCAAGTCCTTTACCAATGGGACTATCCTTCAGGTTACCTGGCTCTTGGACCAGACTTCAAAGCCTATTCTTGACCTTGCTCCTTTTCCTTGTAGCTGTGAGTTCAGTACCTGCCTGGCACTCATGGAATCGCAAAAGTTGTTTTATGGACCCAACAAGATACCATATCAGTTAGGAGTCCCCTTCCCCCAGTTCTTCCCTAATACTTCCGAGTCCATCTCCTCAGAGGTAGATTCATTACCCAAAGCTAGTATAGTGACCATATTTTTTCTTTCATTATGGTGTTACATATATATATATATATATATATATATATATATATATATATATACACACACACACACACACACACTTTTTGCTGTCCACAAACTCCCAAGTGGTGTCTTCTGCTGCATATCAGAGACACCATAGTGGGTCTATCTGTTCTGGCACAGCCTCACCTGCCCTTCTTGAGAGCAGCTAAACACTGACCCTAATAAAGTACTTATTTACTTAAAGGTTTTAGGTTGTAAGCCCTGTGTGTCTAAACCTTGGGGATATCTCCCTCCACCAGGATTTGGAGAAAGAGATAATTAAACCATCTCCTTCAGTAATCTTTTACCCTTTTTGTATTTCTTGGCTCTCCTCATTTAATCTCTTTCTTACCATCTCACTCCACCAAACTCAAAAAGCCTCAGTTCTCAGCAGATACCTTCTCCAGCTATCAGACTTGAATCTCAATCACCTCCTGCAGAACAAGAGGACTGCACCTGGTCTTAGTGTTCCCTGATGGTACTTCTGAAGGTACTACAGTAGAGACTGAGGAAATAAATAGTGGGGGTCTTATACTCCTGAATGTAGCTGATTCTTTCTTAAAGTGCCTAAAATCAAGCACATCTTATCACCAGAAGAATTATTTATGAAAGTCCCATGTGGTCTACTTAATAAATCCGTATTATTTATTACCATAAAGGATGGCCGTATTAACTTACAAACTTATTTGCTAAGAGCATTTACCTATTCCTGCCCTGAGAGTGCTGCTATATTCATTGATGTAAGTGCCACTTGCCTCTCTAATTACTAAGTCTCCAAATTGCTTTGCCTAATTACTAAGATTTTCCCCTTGAATGGGAGCAGAGGTGGCAATGGATTTCAAGTATCATTTTCAGAAGGCCTTCAAAAGGGGAGGGTCACAGGGCCTTTTCCAATTTTAAGACCATTGTATTGAGAATGATGGCTTTTTGTATGACTTTCCTCAGGATTTTCTGGGAGGCTCAGGAGTCAGGTAAGATGTCTTTGTGGTGTGTCCAGATGTCCAAAAGTAGAATGGAAAAAGGATACTCATCCCAGCTTCCAGGAAATGCCTCTTCCTAAACAAGTCATCCCTGATCTATCTATATCCTGGAAAAGCTCCACCAGGTGTGATGGAGGAGGCTTATGGCTTGTTTAAATATAAAAATTCTTAGTATTTTCAATGACTTTACATATAAAGGCCTCTTAATTTTTATGACAACCATTTAGCAATGGTGGTTATTTTTAAATATATATATTTTATTGATTTTTCACAGAGAGGAAGAGAGAGGGATAGAGAGCTAGAAACATTGATGAGATAGAAACATCAATCAGCTGCCTCTTGCACACCCCCTATTGGAGATGTGCCCGCAACCAAGGTACATACCATTGACCACAATCCAACCTGGGACCTTTCAGTCCGCAGGCTGACACTCTATCCACCACTGAGCCAAACCAGTTTCAGCAGCAATGGTGGTTATTAACCATATTTCACACTGGAAAAGTCAGGAGCTCATTTAAAGAGACCAAAGTTGCCCAGCATGTGAGTATTCTTCACCTATTCCCCACTCCCATTCAAGATGATCTCAGAGTGTTCCTGAGGGTGGTGCAGATTGGGGTAAGGGGTGGTGAAGCAAGTATATAGCATGATTTGATTCTAACATGTGAATGAATGTAATACCCTATATGCTCCTTGAGGGCTCTATTTCTTTAGTTTCCTAATCTAGGCCTCCAGCAGGTGACTAAAGCCATATGTCTCTTAGTCTCTAATATGAAGAACAAATGTGAGGAGGACCATGATCTCTGCTGTGGGTTTACTTCAGTGTTTTATTCATGGAGGTCACCACTGTCACTTGGCCCATTTAGTTTTGGAATTTCGTTCTTTATGTTGATCTGCTCACCCCTGGCTCCTTGAAGCTTCTATTCAGACCAGGCTATGGGGCTGATGAGGTAGATCTTGCTTGCTAGACCTTTACCTGCCAAGTCCAAATTAACAATAGGAGACTACCAACATTTCCTGAAGTCCCACCACCTGCAGGACAACAATTCAGTCTGGCCATACGTTGACAAGACTAGCTGGGTTTGCAATACAATTGAAGAGGGACATTTGGAGGTAAAATTCATGTCCCCTAAAAGTAAACATTCTGGTCCCATCTCTCCCATTTCTGTCTTGGACTATGAATTTCTTCTCTAATACTCATACGGAATATCATATGTACACTTTTTTCTTGTCATAAATGAGGAATGGCACATGGGAATACTGTGGGCCTGTATTTTTCAAAAGACTCCATTATTTCTACTTAGTTTACTAATCGATCATTTAATACACATTCCTAGGTAAAGCTATATCTATCTCCACAATAGCCATGCCTCCCAGTCATGCTGCCAAACAGCTGAATTAGATTCAACCCACATATGTTGTGTATGTGATCTCAGCCAGGCCTTGTGGTAGAATCACTAGGGATAAAAAGATGACTAAAATAAAATCTCTATTCATAGCCACTCAGAGTTTAGAGGGAACATATAAGCATGTGATATAACAGGGATAAATGGAGATCTGGAGGCACTCAATGAATGGAGTAGTTAATTATGATTGAGAAAGATATCTGTAAGCAGACAGGATAAGTTTGGTTGTGCTGCAGTAATATATATTCCCAAAATATCAATGGCCTAACATACAAGTGTTTGTTTCTTAAGTAAATCCTGCTGAGGGTCCCAGTAACTCTCCAGGACAGCTATTCTCCATGTGATGGTGCACAATCTGGGCTGCTTTTAACCTTACTACATTTCCTTCTGAACACATATTTCCATAACCACCATAGCTGGAAAGATAATCCTAAAGTGTTTCTCACAGCTAAGCTTTCTAGCCCTGCTTCCAGTTATAGATCAAAAGCCCAGAATTGATCACAAGGCCTCACTTAACTTTAAGGGAGCAGAAAACTGTAAAAGTCCTATGAGCTCAGAATGCAAGAAGAACTAGATATGAATAAACATTAGAAATCTCTACTAAAGAAGGAAAGGTTTGAATTAGGACTCAGAAGACAGGAAAATTCTACCATATTATGAAGATTAGAGCAACTGAGAAGTTAGGATGACAGTCCACAGAGAATACCACCCTCACTCTAACACCAATTGCAAATCCAAACCAAGACCAACCTTCAGTTTGACAATTCACCAGAAAGACCTATAAAACTCACTGTTATATTATATACACAGTTATGGATTATGAAGCCTAAAAGATACAGTTTAAAGTCAGCCAAGGGAGGAAACATAGGGAAGAGTTCAAGAAAGAACTAAATGGGGAGCTTCAGTGTTCCTCTCCCTGTGAAGTCAGGACAGTGTTACATTTTTAGCATTAATATTAATTCAGAATAAATTCATCAATTTCATATTTCAGTGACAATATGTATGGAGTATTGCCAATCACAGTAGCTCATCCAAACTCCTAGAAATTTTATTTGAGCTCCAACAGAGCCTCTGTGCCTGATCTCAGTCCCCAGTCTCCTCAGGAAGTGATCTGATGCCAGATAAACCACAGCCCCCACCCTAAATCACATTGTTGGTATAGCCAAAACCTCACCCTAAACCATTCATATCAGATATGACATTTCAAGAGTTTGGAGATTACCTCCCAGAAGCTGAGGGTAAGAGTTATATTTCTTGTAAGGCAAGTATAGGGTTTTGTTTTTTCCCCTACACACATGTAATACCGGCATGGAGCAGAGGGTGGCATGAAAAATAAAGGGTATTCCAAGTGGAGGAAATAGCATGACTAAAGTCCTAGTAGATTAGGTCATACTAAGGAAAAAAACTCTTTGTATATCATCACTTTGTATTCATTTATTTGTTAATTCAACAAATATGAACTTGCATGCAGAACATTTCCACTATCTGGGATATAGAGGTGAAAGAATTAGATACTGCTCCTACTTGCATGGTGCTTATGGAGTAATAAATCACTTTCTAGTATAAATTCCTCTGAAACTGTATTCTTGAGATGAGATATGTGAGTTTCCAAGCTCTGGTAGCTAACCAACTAGAGTAAAGCTTCAGCCTCCTGGTCACTGATTACATGCCCTCCGTTTTAGGTTCAGCATTGGATAAAACAGCCCACAATCATTTCCAACACCATATGTATAGTTATATATACTTTTGCCATTTCATATATTAACAATAGGATCAACTCAAAGTCCTTTTTGTTATTAATTAATACTAGCTAGCATTAATGGAGTACTTGCTAATGTGCTAAGCTCTGATATAGGTTCACCACCCTAACTCTAAGGGGTAGGTGTGACTATATTTCCCATTTTACTGATGTGGAAAGTGAGGGTCAGGGTCACAGAACTAGCGAGTGAGATGGGTTTGAAACTCAAACCTGCCCCATTTGAGGTTCTAACAACATTGTACCATCCATTCCTATAGCAACATAGCACTGGACCAAACACCCAGAAATGGTTGAATATATTAGAGCTGATGATAATATTGAGGATGCAAGCTAGCATATTGTAACAGAGGCTATTGGTCTTCCATCCACCTCCCCTTATAATTTTGTGGACACCAACCTGACTTTCAACATTCAGTACCAGCATCTTTGTTGGACGGTTGTTCTCAGGCTACCAGAACCCACTTTGCCTAGAATATAGCAGTCTAGAAGTGCCTGAGAATTACTGCCTTCCTTTTCCTGGGAGTAGCCCTTAACCAATGACAATGGGGAAGAGGTATAATTATTCTGATTCCCTTGCCCCCCAGGTGTGATAATTCAAAACTATGCAAGCTGCTGGATGGGCAAGGAGAATCAGCTGGAGTCTGGAATTCAAAATCAATATTCATACTAAGCCCACAAGCAGCTGTTCAAGTGGGCTAAGCCTGGCCTATGGGAACTTCAACTATGGCTTCGGCTTCCAATTCAACTTGGCTCTGGCAGTGGCTCTGCCTCCTTCAGCTGCACCAACACCAGCTCCTCCAAGACCTTGGTTGTGAAGAAGATTAAGGAGCTGTTGTCTGGGTCACATGACATCCTACCCAAGTGAATGGCTACTGCAATCTCTTCTGGCCTCTGAGCCTGTGGGACAAGGAGCTATGCAGGGGAGTGTAGGGAAGAAGAGACTAGCCTGAGGCACAGCCCCAGTTCTCAGCCCACCCTTAGAGATGGAGTCTACTGTTTGTGGGACTTCCTCTTTTCCACACCATCAACTAAGGTGACTGGGCTGATTATGGAAAGGCACCAGCCCCATCACCCTGCTGCTGCTGCCACTGTCACAGCTGCCAAGGTGTTCTCATTAACACAGACTACAGTCCCTTCACCATGAAAAAAATGACAGCTTTCTTTAGGCACTTTCAAGATGTGTCTTTCATAGGATATGACATTTCTTTCTTTTTTATCCTCACTTGAGGATATGTTTCCATTGATTTTTAGAGAGCTTGGAAGAGAGAGGGAAAGAGAAAGAGAAACATCAATGTGAGAGGGACACTTCGATTGGTTGCCTCCTGCATGAGACCTGACCTGGGCCCTGGTCAAGGAGGAGCCTGCAACCTAGATACATGCCCTTTATCAGAATTGAACCCAGACCCTGAGATTAGCAGGATGAGGCTCTATGTGCTGAGCCAAACTGGCTAGGAAAATATATGAAATTTCTTAGTCCTTCCAGCAGCAGACCTTAGTTTTTCCTCCATGAGTGTGGTGGGAAAACCCTAGATCACGTTCTTGCATTCTTATAACTCAAGTTACCAAGAACACTGTGAGAGACAGCTTACAGGAAGCTTAGCCAATGAGCCTTCAGAAAAGGTGTTTCCGCCCTAACCATTCTGGTTCAGTGAATAGAGCATCGGCCTGCAGACTGAAGGGCCCCAGGTTTGATTCTGGTTAAGGGCACGTACCTTGGCTGTGGGCACATCCCCAGTAGGAGGTGTGCAGGAGGCAGCTGATCAATGTTTCTCTCTCATCAATGTTTCTAGCTGTCTATCCCTCTCTCTTTCTCTCTGTGAAAACTCAATAAAATATATTAGAAAAAAGAAAAAGAAAAGAAAAGGTGTTTCCTCTGCAGCTCATGCACAGAGGACCCTCTGCATTGTGTCTGCAGGGTTTCTGTCCACTGGGCTGGGGGCATGGCCCAAGCCACACTACTGGGCTGGGTGAAAAAGGTAAAGAGAGGAGAAGGAACCAAGATGGCAGTGTAGGTAAATGTGATACTCGCATTCTCCCACAGCCACATCAAAATTATAACTAAAAGACAGAACAACCATCATTCAGAACTGCTTGAAATATGGCTGAATGGAAGTCCTACAACTAGAGAAGTAAAGAAGAAAGCACAATGAAACTGATAGGAGGGGTGGAAGCATAGAACGGGCTGGTCTGACACCCACATGTGGCATGTTTTTAATCTGGAGGGATAGCTTGGCTGAAGAGGCCTCCCTTGAGAAGCAGTGTGTTACATCTGAACAATAGGCCCCAAGCTCTGGGTTCCAGAGATGGGAATAGAAGTTTCCATAATGTTGGGCTGTAAAAAACAGCGGTGATTGTGGCTGAGTGACAAGGATGCTGCTGGAGTCCCAAGCAGTTCCTCTTAAAGGGCTGGTGCATAAACTTACCCAAACTAATTCCTTTTGAGTGCCAAGTCTCCATCAACCTGGCCCACATTGTTCATCCCACCCTGGTGATTCTCTGAGATCCCACCCCACTCAATTTGCAGCCCTACCCAAACTATTTGCAGTATCCTTTCCATATGAATGGCCTGTTCTAGTTCAGGCTCCAGACTTTCCTAAAATCTCTCAAAATAGCAGAAGCTGGACTCAGTGGGTCCCATAGCTCTTGATAGGTTGCCCCAGGCCTGGCACTAGCAACAGCTTGCCAAGGTTCACAGTTTGGCCTGTCCAGGGTACACATCTGCAAATCGCTTGTGCCAGTAGGCTCTAGGCAGGGAACAGACAATGACTGACTTTACATCCAGCAGACAGATTAAGACCCTTCCAGGATACAAAACTGCCATATCCCTAAGTGAAACACAAAGGGTGGGCTCAGTGAGTACCAAAGCCCCACTAAAACAAGTCCTGCTCTATAAGGGTGTCTCCTGCATAGTAGATCTGCTGTACTTGCAGCTGGTCCTCACAGTCAATTAGCCTTGGGTCAATCCCTTCCAATGAGGACAACAGTAATCAAGGTTCAACTACAATGTGACAGTGCACACAGACCACACAGGGGCACACCTTCAGTACCCAGTTCAGGTGACAGGGAGGCTGATCTACTGAACCCTATAGGACACCTACTACAAAAGGCCACTCTACCAATTCCAGGATACATAACAGCTCTACCTGTTCCATAGAAACAAACAGGGAAGCAGCCAAAATGCAGAAACAAAGAAACATGTTGTACATAAAAGAACTGAAGAAATCTCCAGAATAAAAACCTAAATCAAATGAAAGCAAGCAAACTCCTAGATAAAGTTCAAAACAATGATTATCAAGCTGCTCAAGAAACTTAATGAGAGCTTTGAGGAGCTTAGTGAGAAGGTCAAAAAACTTAATGGGAATTTCAAGAAAATTAGTGAAAATATCGCCATGGCAAATTAACCTGCCATCTTTGTTAGGTTAATTTGCATACTCATTCCTGATTGGCTGGTGAGCATTGTGAAGGTACAGTCGATTTGCATCTTTCTCTTTTATTAGTATAGATGTTACATTAACCTTTAATTCTCTTACAAATTTGAATGCAGTTGCCAAAAGGGCAGGTGTCCAAATGGGTAAGGAAAAATACCAATCAGGTTTTGGTCTCTATTGAGAGACAGTTGACAGCCTGTATACTGCCTTTCAGGCTTGTGTAACCATGCCCATGTCAGGGGTGGCACAAACCTCAACTTTAGGAAACTGGGGAAGGCCTGTTTGGAACAGAGGGAAGTGGTGAGTACCAGCCCTCTGTTACAAGTATTGCAGACCCTATGAGGTCCTATGACATATGAGACCCTGCAAAGGTATAAAGCACATGTCGAAGAGTTACTCCTTTAATCTGTTCTGAGAGAGCATGCCACCCCTCCCAGAAACCATATGTAGTTTAAGGACAAGTCAACTAGGGGGACCCTGCTATAGGGACAGCTGTGATTATCTAACTGTAGACATATTTTAAATTTCTTCCTGCAATTTAAATACAATTACTGTTTTGTTATAATACATTTAGAAAACTATTACTCTGAAGAATCCATAAAAGTGGCTGAAAGGAAAATCAAAAGATCTTAAAGCAGGTCAGTATATTTTTCTCCTTATATAATTCCTATGAAATTTGGCAATACTTAATAAATCACAGCAATACATTTCTTTGCACAAATTCAATAAGACTGGTTTCCAACAGTGGTCTTAATAACCAAACACTTTGACTGTAGTATCATGTTTTAAAGTAGGGGTGTCGAACTCAATCAGAGAAGGGGCCAAAATCTAAAATCCAGCCTAAATCGCGGGCCGAATCGTTTACTGAACAGTCATAAACTGTCATTGTGATGGAAACGCAGCGGAGTGCAGTGATGACAGCGCGGTGCGGGCCACATTGCAAGGCCTGGCGGGATGGATTTGGCCCGCGGGCCTTGTGTTTGACAAATGTGTTTTAAAGAGTCATGTCTGAACTCTGAAGGCTTGTAGCCAATAAGAGTGCCACAGAAAAAGTCCTGCATGGTAGCCCTGAAAATAGCTATTGCTGAAGCATCAGGCCCATGCCCTACCATCACTTGTGGTTGTTCAGAGTAGAAGGGGAGCAAGAAGGGAACCTCTGTATCCCTGCAGAACCCCCATGCCCTCTAGGCCATGACGATTAGGAGGGCTATAGATGGGCCTTAAAGCCTAGGACATAGGCCTGGGTAGAGTGACTGCAGGTAAAAATTGACCTAACTCAACAGATATTGCAGGCATGCCTGACAGCAGCTGGGTAGCTTAGCTTTCTGGTCCTACAGGGCACATTAATATTCAATCGTGAAATTCTGGCAAAGGTAGTTAGTTACCATTCTTGTTGTGTTTATGCAAACAATCAGGTCAAATTGAATGCAATAGGTAAACAGGTCTTGATTTGGCTCTTTTGATAAACATAGAGGTACTTTTGAGGAGAATAATTCTATTTCAATAAAGGTTATTAAAGCTGAAATGTTTTCTTTCCCTTCCACCAGACCATTTGTTACAGTTTTTCTCCTCCAGGTCGCAAGACCACCTCCTTCTGTGTCCAGGTCTCATCGTCCCTCTGACAGACAGCAAGGCTCTCTTGGCTCTGAGAGAAACCTCTGACACACCTCAGCAGGAAATAATTTCAGAAGAAACTCAACACTCAGCATCCCTTCTCCCTGAAAGAATTAAGAACCAGGATCCTTTAGGTAATATATAGTAGGCAGTTAGACAGACATGAGCAGAGCAAGGACGATGAGCCAACTACTGCAATATATATATAGTGCAATGTATATAGTGCAATATATATAGTGCAATATATATATATATATATATATATATATATATATATATATATATATTCATGCAAATTGTTATACAGGTATTGAAAAAACACAACAAGCCAAAACAAAACAAAACTGAAATATTGAATGGCCAGATTATTATGATCTCTGAATGCATAATAATCTGGCCACTCAGTATATATACATATTTATTAGAGGCCTGGTGGGGTCCAGCCAGCTGGCCAGGGGGAGGGGACGTGAGTTGGTCGGCCTAGTTGCTGGTTGAACTCCTGGTCGAGGGGACAATTTGCATATTAGCCTTTTAATACATAGGATACACTGAGTGGCCAGATTATTATGCATTCAGAGATCATAATAATCTAGCCACTCGTGTGTGTGTGTGTGTGTGTGTGTGTGTGTGTATAATTTTATATTTTTTCCTTTCTCTTCCTTCTTTCCTTTTATATTATGCTTTGTTTACTTTTTTCAATCTCTAATTTTTTTTTACCTCTTGTCATTAATTATTCTTTTTTTCTTTCTTTTGTTTTTGTTCATTTGTCCATTTTTACTCTTCTTTAGTTGCCTGTTAGTTTGTTTTGTTTTTTTGGTTCGGCTTATTGTGTTCTCTCAATACCTGTGCAATCATTTGCATGATGTGGTTAGTGTTGAGACTCACAGTCAATTAGCCTGAGGGTAGAAACCACCCATGAATGGACAACAGCAACTGAGACCCAATTACAACTAGATGTCCCATATAACACACTCAAGGGATATTCCTAGAGCACCCAGTACAGGAGATCAAGAAGACTGTTACCACTGGGTCACACAGGGCACCTACTATAAAAAGCCACCCCACCAAGACTGTAACTCATAGCAGTTCTATTTACTACACAGAAACATACATAATGAGACAGACAAAACAGGGAGACAAAGAAATAGGCTGTAAATGAAAGAATAAGAGAAATCTCCAGAAGAAGAGCTAAAAGAAATGCAGGTGAGCAATTTATCAGAAAACAAAACAGTTAAGTAATTGTTATAAGGATGCTCAACAGTATGAAAAAGGACATAAAATTGTGAAAAGTTACCAGTCAGAAACAATGAGTAACATATATGAAATAATGAATACTCTGTAAGGAATAAACTGTAGATTAGTAGATTATCAATCAGAAGATTAGAATAAAATGTAGGAAAAAATCAAGCAGAGTTACAAAAAGATAAAAACAATTATAAGGCATTAGGACAGTTTAAGGCAGTGTTTTCCAAACTTTTGACATATGTGTACCCCTTCTATAATTTTCGTAACACTGAGTACCCCTCGTACTCATGAGAATGTAGAATTAGGTGCAGCTAAGCACAGTGCAGTGCATATCCCCACCAAACTCCAGTGCAACGCGTACCCCCACCAAACTCTTCCCATACCCCTGAGGGTACGCATACCACACTGTGGGAAACACTGGTTTAAGAGAATATGGGGACAACATGAAATAAAACAACATTTGCATCATAGGCACAGCAGAAGGAGAATTGAACAAAGAATAGAGAACCTGCACGAAGAAGTAACAACTGAGAACTTTCCAAACTTGGTGAAGAAAAAAGTCACAAAAGTTTATGAAGCACAGCAAGTCACAATCAAGATGAACTGAAAGAGATCCACATCAAGACACATCATCATTAAAATAGGAAAGATTAAAGCCAAAGAGAGAATCCTGAAGAGAGCAAGAGAGAGAAAGTTACAAGTAGTAAACTATAAGAAGGTTCCCA